CACATCAGGCTCCTCAAAGAACCGGTTTCTGGTATCGCAGTTAGCTGCCTAGCCCATAACTGTTACACCAGGATAAAAAGATGGAGACAATTTTTCAAAATTCCAAAGTTTCTGTATAGTTAGCTGACATTTGGCATAATCCCCTTCAGTTCATCGGCTTTGTTGTCCCCAGACCACTTTGTAACCAATTTGGCTGTACGATTGAGTTCATTGTGCATTTGCAAGACCCTTTTGGACTCAAGCCCCATGTTCCAGGTTAATGTTTTCAAAGGTTGCTTTCATATATTTTTCTTTCCTCATTATGCCATATTTTGTAAAGTGCACCAGTCCCTTCTGCAGAAAAATATCCACAAAATATGGCACTGCCATCCCTGTGTTCTCAAATCAAAGGTGTGCCCAGAAATTTAGATTTTTTTTTCACTGACTGAATACAGTAGATAATTTATATTGCTTCTAGAGTAATTGCATCTTTCTTGCTGAGTGGCTTTTCAGCCTATGTTGACACAGGACTCATTTCTTTGTGGATAAAGACAAACTCTCACCAGTTTAAGTAAGGCACCTGGTCTTTTGATTTAAATTTTGGGTTTATACACACATTTTGAACAAAAGCACATTCTTCCTTACATGTCGGGCGGGCCAACAGAGGCTTTTGATTCAAGCAAAAAGGTTCATCACCCAGAGCAACATTGCAACTGGGAGAGGCACACGTGTTCAAAAGCAAAACAAAGGTTTTCTATCAGTTACATTCTGAACATGTTGTCCATTGTTAATGTGAAGTGGATCCCTGCCTATGGTGAACACAGTATGAATTGTACAAAACAAGATATGAATGGAGATCACCAACTAACTTAATATTTAATGACTTCTATGTATTTGGGAATGTATGAAGAGCTATTTACTCTGAGTTGCATTTGATTATGTTGAGTGTGAAATTTTGAATGGTGAAAATGTCAGGTTTGACAGGAAAAGTCATGTTTAGGTTTGACTGGTCAAACCTAAACAGCATGAATGGACACTGAAAATATATTCCCTAGAACACCGTTTGAAGAAATTCACAAATTGACTTTCTATATTCAGTTTGTGAAAATCAAATCTTTTGGGATGTTTAATTTTAAAGTTCACCATTCACCTTCGGTCTGGGCAATCACTCATCTGCAATTAATTATGAAAGAAAATGCATCATATTACGGAGTAGCTGATGACACAAACCGTCATCGTTTTGCAGGTGTGGCTCTTTTTACAATAGTTCAGGTTGTTTGGTTTGGACAAATCTGAAAACACAGCAAATACAAGGACTTGCCCAGCCCTCGGGTGTTTTAGAAAGGCTCTAAATTGTACATTTGGGCTGTCATTAACCCTGGCAAAAGACAGTGTTTGTTTTTGTCAGGCAGCACTCAAATCTTACCTGTTCTGCAACGATCCAAGAGAAGTATATGGGCATAAGGGGGCAGGACTCCAAAAACACACCCACTTTTATCAGCTCAAAAACCACCAGATAAATATAGGTGCAACACTGACTTTAGGCGCATATTCACTTCACCTTGAGCTCAGGTATGTACCGGATGATTATTAGACCTTGACTGCAAGGAGTTTGAATGTTTACATTTTTGCAGTTGTCTTTTCTCCTTTGCTGAATAGGAAGACACTTGTGTTCTACTTTCATCATCAAGCCAAAATGAGCGATCGTAAGTCTCTTTGAAATATTAAGTTCACAAGTTAGCTAATCCTCACAGTCCTCCTTTTTCTTTTTTATCTGTTTTTACCCATATGAAGCAAGAGATCAAAGATGTGTAATGCGATGCTGCAAGCAGTGATTTCTATTTACATAATAAAACTGCTGTTTGTATTGTAGGATGATGTGCTGAGTTTTACTGCTAATTCATGTTAAAATACTAATTTATCGCCTTTTTTTTTGCCTTCAATATATTACCACAGCAGAACAACAAAAAAAGCCAGAACAGGTAAGTTAGTTTTACTTTCATCAGTCACTATAAACAAAATATGTGTTTGTATTTACTTATTTATTTATTTTTGTCACTGGCACAGGAGGAGGAATCAGGATCAGGATCTGAAGGAGTAAGATTACTTTTCCAGATCGGTGCTAAATGTTTATGAAGTTTTATTTAATTGAATAATGATAATGTCGTTATACTCATGTGTGTGTGTGTGTGTGTGTGTGTGTGTATTGTGTCTTTCACAGGAGGAAGGAAAGGTACAACCTTAACTTCTTGGGATTTAAGTGACACCAGTTTTATTTTTTTGTTCTATTTGTAAATTTGTTGCATTTTTATGGCTGCTTAAAGGGCAAAGGGAAGAAAAAAGGAAAGGGAAAAGGTCACGGACATGGTCATGGAAAAGACGGACACGGTCATGGACATGGAGGAGAAGGACATGGACACGGACATGGAGGTGGAAGAGGTGGCAAGTGAAAGAGACCACTGAGGCGACCCTAAATAAAATGATAAAAAGTCATTATTTTGTCAAAAAGATTAATGTATGATTGTATTGCATTCCTCATTAAATAATCTACAAAATAAGAAGTACGGCTCTTTAATTCCCTTCCAAACGGATCCCTTTTTCTTGAATGAACATTAATGTCAAAGTACAATAGAATAAGACAAGTCATTATAAAACTGCATAAAACCAGTGAGAAAGAAACTAAAATAAAACTTACTTACGAAAAATCTTTTCTAGCCAAAAGCTGCATGATAATGGTAATGATTATAATAACCGAACCTATAACGAGGGAACTGATTAGTTTTCATCTTGCACAGGGTTGCAAGGCAGACAAATCTGCTTCCTGAACTTAACTCAAAAGTGTGGTTTTGACTGCAGCAAAAATATTCATAATATTTTTTTAAAAAGTTGTCATGCAAGTCCTGATAAACTTCAATCCATTTACCAGGACTGTTCAGACACATTAAATAAATTAGAATATGCCTCCTAGTTGGTCAGATTAGAAACACTTTTTGAAATAAAGCAGGTAGCTTTCATTAAACCCACATCTCTACTTTTTTAAATTATTGGTCTGATGCAATATTGTAATCCCAACTATCATGTTTTTGTTAACTGCAAGTGGATAATCATCAATTAACAACAATAAAAGCAAAAACTCAAACTAGTTTTTAAAGAAATTCATACAAAATCATGTTTGCAGTTTGCCACAATCTATGAAAAACAAGGTAAGCATGCAAAAGATGGTTGTCTGAACAGATGAGATCAAAACTGGATTCGTTTAGCGAGCTTGCAAAAAACAATTTTGGGTTTAAAGCAATGCACTTTAAACGCATCATCCAAATATGAAACCTGGAGGTGGAAGCATCCTGCTGTGGAGATTCTGTTCTTCAGCAAGACAAGTTCTGGCTGCAAAAGACTTGTGGATGTTCACCTTAGAGCAATTCAAAGAGAGTAAACCTACACCCACAGCTACAACATATTCATGAGTTGAAGTTTTTTTGTTTTATTTTTTCTCTAAATTCAAATGAGAATTTGTAGCAAACTCTTTACATGGCACTCAAAATCAGAACCACAGTCAAACCTGTTTTCTAATGTTGTGGCTCCTTTTTAGAGCATCATCCTTCTATTATTATTCAACCTGAAGTTGAACAATAATAATGATGTCAGCAGTGGAATCAAGTTTGTGCATGTGTGAAAAAATAAGATAACCGTTGGTTCCTAATTATCTTCGTTTGACTGAGTTTATAGAATCACAATGCCTTTGCAATTTTGAACAAGTTGAAGAGCTACATGTGAGGTTTTTCTTTCTTTCTTTAGTTTTTTTTTGTTAACTCACGTGTAGCTCTGCAAAGAAAGGGTGCAGAGTATTGGGTGTGTCAGGAATGAGCTCCCATCAGCGATCAGTTAGATTTACCTGTATGTTCATAAGCTACATCACCCGATTTTCATCTTTCAGATCTACGTTTGTTTCGTATGAACTCCTAAAGGCAGTGTATCCAAAGTTGTGTTCCAGCAGTGAATGGTAATGTTTGTAAAACACTCATAAAAAGTCATATTTTCTCTCTTTTTTTAATTGGATTGTACTATATGATCTTGGTTTACTTTTCCTTTTTAGCTACATATTCCCAACTCGTTTGCTGTCTTTATTTGAATTATTAATGTTAATGTTTTTATGAGCTTTTTACGTTTAAGCTTGCACAAGACCGAGTTGATGTTATTCTTTTTTTTTGTAATGCCAAACCAGTCTGATGTAACAAAATGAACTTTTTAAAGAAACAATAAAATAAACGTTTAATAGTGCACCATGTAGTCTTCAAATTAGATTTAATGAGAAGTGGAAGACCTTTTACACTTTCACAGTCACGTGCTCAGTTTTTTGCTAAACATACTTTAAAGTTAATGAAAGCAATGTGCCCAGCTGCAAAAGCTCAAATCATGAATACCTCTCCACTGCATTGTAGATTGGTCAACTTGTTGAGGAAACATTTAATTTTCCATTAATCTTCTTCCAGTAATTTTGTTTTGAGAACATGGAATTTTCCTTCTTTCTAATAAGCATCATTAAAAGTTCAGCATCAACTATAAACCTACGTTTTTTAACTTTTAGATTACCTGCCAAGCTGCTCTGCATTCGTAAAGGTCATAGGACATATTTTCTGGAGTTGATCCAGACAATATGTCTGTCAGGTTTTGCAATAATTAAATTTAACATGTGTCCAGAACAACAGAAACACCCACTTATAAATATAGAAATGACACTGACTTTAAGCACAAGTTGTTTCACTTCTAACTCAGGTTTGTTTCAGCCAATCTTTAAAAATGTACTTTAATTCGCTGAATTTGTTCATTCTTCTATTTTGCACAGGAATTATTTTAGCTTCCCTGAAGAAGACACGAGTGATAATGTGAATTCAGTTTTGTATTTAAGGGGAATGAGAAAATAACTTGTCTTACTGTTTTTGTGTAAACATGACAGTTGCTTTAAATGAGAAACGATACGGCCATAAATGTTGGAAATGCTTGAGGGAGAAATGTTGTTCAGATATCTGTGCAACAGCTGCATTTTATTTTTGCAGTATATTATATATTGCTGACCATCATATCCTTTTAAAAGCAGCAAATTTTATTTAATAGACTAGTGAATTTAATTATTGCACCTTTGATATGTCTTGTTTTAAAAAAAAAATAACTTTGTCTTTTTGTGATCTAGAGGAAGTGAGTCATTTTTCTTTTTTCTATCATCATTGAGTTGAATACTGAAAGGAAACATGGCAGCAGTGAATGAAAATACCAATGAATCAATGTCATGTGATATCAGTCTGTTATTATATATTGTTATAAATATATAATAAAATTGTCACTAAAAAAGTATTGCGTTTGTTACTATTATCAGAGGGTTTGGTAAATGCATTCACAGCTTAATAAAGACTTTAAAACAATAGTATCAAATACAAACTGTTAGTCAGCTTAGTGAAAAAGTTTACACCCAACAAAAAGTCTGGGTATATCTCACATATACTCCCAACAAAAAGGTCTCAGTATTTTGTCTTTAGTTACAAACTGTCCTGCATGTTTTACGTTTCCCATTCAAGTTAATTCAAATAACAGCATTACCTCCAATTACTGCACAAGCCTGTTAATCACCCATTCACTTTAGCAAGGGCGGCTAAATGCAAACAAATGCAACATTTTTCAGTGACGAGGCTGAAAAATGCACAACGTTGTTAGTCCAGCACATAAATGTGAATAAAAATTCAAGAGGCATAAATACTTTTACAAGAAACTTTTAAAGGAATAAGTGGTTTTCATGTTAGTGTAGCGACGAGGCAAACAACTCTGCTTGTAAAGGTATCTAAACTCTAATAGTTGGTTCATGTTGAAGAAAAACAAAAGTAAACTCAGATGAGGATTCCAAATAAAGCCACTTTATTTTGTCCTTTTTTGGTAGATTAAAAAAAACCAGGATTTAACACATAATGAAGCTAAATTTCACATTTCCATACATGAAAAAATTTACTTAATATACTGGGAAGTCAAAACTGAATTGAAAAACAATTTGCTCAGATCAACAAATTTACTAGACAAAGTCTTTAAAGACAGCATTACATTTACATTTAGGATTTAAATGGTAAGTACAGTATTTTTTTAAGAGGCAATTACTCTTTAAGAAAAAGAAAATAGAGAACTAGCCTTCAATGTAGTGTTAACAAATATAAACTGAGAGCTAATGTAAGGCTTAAACGGTTGTGTTTGTTGATTTAGGAGTTCTAAGATAGGAAATGCGTTAGATTAGTCAAAAATAATCTAATGAAAAATGTCAATATGATAGTTTGTTCCAGCAAAAAGGCCCTTCACAGACCAGGTACAGCATAAAAATCTGTTCTGTAATTATATTCCTGGAATCATCAGCTCCTGGAAGCATCTTTCTAGAAAAAGACACTCAGTCACACACGATAGGATGGAAGCAGCTCGAGGTGCATCGAGTTAGAACTCGTCCAGTGTTTGTTAAGGCCCAGTGGGGTTGATGACTGTTTCTATAGGCTCTAAGAGGGAGAAGGAAGCAGAAAGAGAGATATTTAACCGCTGCCAATGCCTTCCTGTATGACAGGCATGACCTTACTGCATACCTGTCAAATAGGAATGAAGTGCATTCCTATTTCCGGTTTGCATTCTGCATTACCTCAGTCATATAGAGAGGATGGATTTTCTTCAGAAAAGTCCATTGACCTGTTCGGTCTCAGTGTCCAAGTCAATATCATAGAAACAAGGCCGGGTGGGCAGACCGGGTATTGTAGGCATCTGAAGAGAAAATGCATTGTGTCCAAAAAACTTGTAAACAAAATATAAACGTCCTGAAACAGCTTTCAATGTTATTTAAACTCTTAAGACAACATAACGTATGACGGATATCTGCAGAACCAACATTTTAATCTATTTATGTAGCTTGCATTTAAGTTTCCATTCTCTTATAAACATCATGTAAAATCAATCTGAAATTTGCAAAACATGCAAATGGGTTTCCATACTTATTGAGACTTAGAAAATAGTAATAGGAAACTTTAAAGACCTCTATGTTGTTTCTTTCTAGTGTCATATGATCATGATTTTTATCTATAAAATGTCACAAAAATATAGGAAGCAAATTATTGATTTTTTTTAGGATAGGACTACATTTTTCAGGATTGTTTTTGCAAAGTCCACACACAGTTGTACATAAAATAAAAAGGCCTGTTTGATCAGGTTTGTGATCCTACCGTGCCGACCAATGGGAAGAGAAAGCCCGCGCCGACGCTCGCTCGGATGTCTCTAATGGGCAGGACGAAACCTGTCGGCACACCCTTCTTCTCGGCCTCGTGCGAGAGGGACAGGTGTGTCTTAGCCATGCAAATAGGCAGGTTTCCAAAGCCCTGAAGCAAAAGACAAAACAGGATCTTCTCAGTATAGATTTCCCTTTGACGGTGGCTTTTGCTGATTAATTGAAGTGACAAGAAAACTTCTGCCCTGAGGCATGCTGACCTGCTTGGTGTAGAGCTCCACCTTGTGTTGGGCCTCCGGGAGAAGTTCAATATCATCTGCTCCATAG